AAAAAATAAATAAAAAATAAAAAATTCGAATATACTGAACATATACTCCCTATACACATGACATATACTGAACAGTATACAAAAGAACCTTCTAATATATTGAACATATACTCTCTATACACACCACATATATTGTCTGTCTATACACGCAACATATACTGCCGTGAACATGTAAGTACATATATCATATATATACTACCGTGGAGAACGATTCTCGGATCGCCTAGGATAGCCGACATATACCACGAGCTCGAACTTCAGGCCACGCATTTGCCATCACCAACTTGGGAGACATCTTAGCCCTCAGAAATTATTCCCAGCACATCAGTCGCCATCTTCCTCTCTGCAGAGCCAAGCCAGGACATCGTCATGCAAACGCCAGATCGAGAGTTCCCGTCGTAGGTCACAGCCCTTCGCCGGCCTTTTTCTCTTCAGCGACGATTATCCCACCAAGCAGCGCACGTATCAACGCTGAGCAACGGTCAATCACGATACGCACGACGTCCCCCATCCCTCCTCGTGCACAACCTGTAGCCACCGACGCGCCATAAACTCTGAGGAACAAGTTTTGGTTTTGTTTTAGGAGGGATTTTGCGAAGCGAGAACTCGACCTAATTTGTAGGATGTCGTCGGCCGACGCTTTTTTCCTGGTAGAACGTGGTATTTTAGTCTTGGCCATTGAAGCGTGGTCGGGAACGAGATGGAGGTTTTGCAGAAAGAGAGAGATGTGTGAACGTGGGTGGACGGTGGGAGGGCATTTTTTTTAAAGAGATTGAAATTTATTTCTGATTTATTTGGTAAGAATATCTTCATCATTGATCTCAATATAATTGATTAGCCCGATAATAATACCTTAATAACGGTTGAAAGGATTTTAAACCATATTAGGTAATTTTGCAATATTTTATGGTTGATTTGGTAATTATATAAATAAAAAGAAATTGAATGTACAAGTGTTATATAAATTGTATGGTTGATTTGGTAATTATATAAATAAAAAGAAATTGAATGTACAAGTGTTTATATAAATTGAATAATAGAGTATGTGGTGCAAATTCCTCAATTTTTTATCCCTATCAATTATTCACAAACTGCAAAAGAATATCTTAACTATATTAAGATTATGAAATATACAACTTTGTTGATTTATAAGTTTCAAAGTGTGTGTAAATATAATATAACTCAATATTGTTGTCAATCAATTACAATTAATTAAAAATAATTTTAGCACAAAAATAGAAAAATATAAACTATATATGGTGAGAAGCAAGTAAGTTGAGCCAATATTGGCGATAAAATCATCATTTAAATTAACATATGTAATAATCTCTAGCGAAGTAATCTCCGAACATATTCCCATGAAAGTTCATCGTCTCCTAGCTCGGGCAATAGTCTTTCATCTTGAGTAAAAATTTACCTCAAATCGAATGATCATCACATTCTTCCAAGCAAACAGAAACTAACAAGCTTGAACCCTTATAACTACAGACTAAATTTTGCTGTTAGTTCAATGCTAATTTGAAAGACCAGAAATGGAGAAGATGAAAGACCAAAATCCTGCAAGTAGCGAAATGGATAAAAAAAAAAGTATAATAAATCGGCTATATGTACATATACCATCCCAACACAACACAAAGTTGATAGAAAGCATTACCTAAGGAAAGCGAAGGAAAGGGTAAACACATCCTAAATTAAATGGGGGGCAGCATTTGCATTTGCATTTGGTGAGCAACGGAGGCCAATCCCTGCATGAGTCGAACAATTTCGAGGGTATCATCAAGATAGTACTTGGCCTTACTCGGCTTACGCCCAACCGTGCATGCAAACACCTCTGCATTGGGAGCTATGGTGGGCCCCGGGATAGAGCTCGTGATCACCTCAAACATGTCCTCGTCCGACCTGTCGTCACCAATGCACAGCACAAAATCCGGGCACATCCCATTCTCTTGCATGCCCGACAACACACGCTTCGCCACCACTCCCTTACTCACCCCCTGTCACAATTCACAAACCATTCAGTATAAACAACATAATAGGAATCAAATATTTTGAAAATGACTCATATCAAAACCATATAACAACAAAGCAAATGCAAAATAAAGGTTATCACTTAATATTGTAATTGTTACCAAAGTAAAAGAATACAATATGATTTGTCATATATAATCATTAATTACATAGTGAATAGATCATAAATACACATTGAAACAAATGTTCATGGCAAAATTTAAGCCGCTCAATGTATTATTGTTAATTAAAGATCGTATTTATAATATTAATGACATGATTGGTATGATAGAATGACATGACTCGTAAGATTGTAACTTTGGTTAATTTGAAAGTTATTGTAGAACTAATTCTTATAGCTTATCATGGTGGACACACGGATTATTGCACGAGTCACGCCTAGTTACTTTGAAGTTTGGAATTGTTATATGATGTACGTTAAAGATTTGTGACAACATCAAATGCCAAATGTCTTTCCTTCATTGACAATGTTTTAGATTTTGCGACAGACCAGTAAGAGGTCGTTTACGGTTCAATATTCGACGCCACCTATTTATGTTACGCAATGGGTGACTACTATATACTAAATGTATTTCCTCAACAAGATAGGATTTAAATAATGATGTCATTCAGAGTACAATAAAGCCACAATTTATCAGCAAATATATAAAACAGTATGATATATTTATAAGGTGTACACCTGCCTCAAACTAAACGAAAAGTATAAAGAATCAGTTGAAATATACGATGGAGTTCAGACATAGCTTTTAAATATATATATATATATATATATATATATATATTTTTAATTGTACAAACATTAAGCTGACTATCCATGCAAAACTATAGTATTTGGATTTGATTAGAGAAGAGCATGTGCATGTGTTGTGTATTTGACATACCTGAGGCTTAACTTCGACAGAGTTTGTTCCGCTCTTGACGGTAACGGGCTCATTAGCAAGCACGCTCTCAAGGTGGTCGAGAAGCTCTTTAGCCTGACACGACCCAAAATCAGGGTCCGCATCCTCATAACACCAACGCATTGCGGTTTCTTTAAATTCGATCACTGACCCATCTGTTGTCTCCGTGTAGAGCTGCATTACGGGCTCCGCAATTTGTTTCCAATTGCATTCCACTTCTGGTATACACGTTTCCCATTCCTCATCACGCCTCGTCCTAACACACCCCAAACATCAGCTTATATCAAATGTACATGTGTGTTAATGTAGAATGGAAAGACACACACTAGTTAAAAACATGATATTCAAAATAACTAAAAGATCCAAAAGCACATTATTTTTTCCTCAATGTCCGCCTTCTATTTGCATACGCTACTAAATTAGAAATACAGGATTCACAACTAATTTTTTTCACGTGCGCCACAATAAATAACATACCCCAAAAGCCACAATCTTCCATAAGAAACCCCACTTGAAATGTAAAATCACATACCTGAGAAAATAACCATGCTCCGCAGCAATTCCCAGGTCCTCACAAGACGAAAACCACTCCTCCAACTGGTCCCGTCGCCCACCACTTACAATAAAAACCATATTGTTCTTATCCCTACACAACTCATTTATAATATCCAACGATTTCGAGCTGGGCTTCTTATCGATCGAGTTTTGAGGCATCAAAGTTCCATCATAGTCCAATAGAATAGCCCTCTTCCCCGTCCTCTTGTACGCCGACACTATGTGCTCCATAGCCAACTTCCTGAAATTTGGATCGAGCGCTACAACCCGGAAGCTTAGCCCGAACCCAATGCCCCAACACCTTCTACGCCCGTGCTCCTTACAAGTCCTCTCCAGATCATGCAAAAAACTTCGGGCCCAATAAGCCACGTCGTGCGTGCTCACATACTTGTAGTGTTTTTCATGTCTCAATTGCTTTTCTGGTTCAGCCATCACAAGAGCCAAGTCCATTGCCTCGGCTACCACGTCGATATTCCAGGGGTTCACCCGAATGGCCCCACTCAAAGAAGGCGAGCACCCTATAAACTCGGACACCACCAGCATGCTCTTTTTCGGGCCTGGAGCCTCTAGCCCGAGAGCCCGATCTAGTATCTCATTGCCCTGCCGGCTAATCACGTACTCGTACGGTATCAAGTTCATTCCATCTCTAACAGCCGTCACCAGGCAACACTCGGCCACCACGTAATACGCAATCCTCTCATAAAATTTCAACGGCTGCTCGATCAATATAACGGGCTCGTACCCAGGTTGACCAAACGTCTCGTTTATCCGTTTGACCGTGGCGTACGTCTCATCCTGAACTTCCTTCACGTCCTTCCCTCTGCCCCTGGCAGGATTTGCTATCTGCACAAGGACAACTTTGCCCTTCTTCTCCGGATGCTGCACCAGAAGCTGCTCCATTGCCAGCAGCTTCAAGCTAATGCCTTTGAATATGTCCATGTCATCTACACCTAGAAGCATAGTTTTTCCTTGTCCTGAAAATTGTTTGATGAGTTGGGTCACTTTTGCCTCAGTCTCCGGTAATCTCAAGATCGACTGGAGCTGGCCCATGTGGATGCCGACAGGCAAGATCTTGATGCTGACCGTGCGGCCGTAATACTCGAGCCCGATGTAGCCCCTCTTAGACTCGTACGTGAGACCTAACATCCGGCTACAGCACGACAAGAAATGACGGGCATAGTCGAATGTGTGGAAGCCAATCAAATCCGAATTTAAAAGGGCCCGCAGAAGCTCCTCCCTGATGGGCAGGGTCCGGTAGATCTCGGACGAGGGAAACGGGCTGTGGAGGAAAAACCCAAGCTTGACCCGGTTGAACCTCTTTCTCAAGAAAGTGGGCAGAACCATCAAATGGTAGTCGTGGACCCACACGAAGTCATCCTCCGGGTTAATAACCTCCATTATCCTGTCAGCAAAATTCTTGTTGACTGACACGTAAGCCTGCCACAAGGAACGATTAAACCTGCCGCCCAAATCAGGTGACAAGGGCAGCATGTAGTGAAACAAGGGCCACAGCTGCTGTTTACAAAACCCGTGATAGTAGCGGCTATATAAATCTGGGGGCAAAAAGGTGGGAACACATTTGTAGGTCTCGAGCAGGATCTGGGACACCTCGTCCTGGTCATTGGGGTGGATTTCATCTTTCAGACAGCCAACGTATATGAAATCCATCTCATCAGGCCCTAACCCATCTTTCATCTGGAGGAGGAGTGAGTTGTCTTCCCACGTGAAAGTCCAACCTTTCGAGCCATCGGTCTTGCGGTGGACCCGTATCGGGAGCTGATTGGCTACGATTATTATCCTGTCCTTTCGGGGGTTCGAAGATGATGAGTCGGACGAGACGCTATCTGAGCACTCGTCATCGTCATCGGAGATTATTCCGGGGACAGTCATGATTCGAGGGATCCTACGGCTCATACGACTGAAGGATGGGGAAGAGGACTCGCCTGAAGCTAGCTCCAACAGGTTTGAATATGATCTAGACACCATTTTTCTGTATTCACTTTTTCTTTATAGGTGGTTAACTGCAGTAGACTTAAACGGACTCAAAAACTTGTTTGAAACCAGCTTCACAGCACACACGAAACAGGGGCGGAGTTCGTGCGAGCTGATGGAAAATCATAAAGGGTTGGAGAATTTACTGTCAAGATTTGACTTTTGGAACCAAATCAAGCTACATACTGCATCACAAAAGGAACTTTCATGTCAAACAAATGGAGACTCAAATAATATGAGGAGAAATAGGAATAGCTTCAGATCACAAAACCAGAAGTACCATTTAAAAAAAAAAAAAAAAAAAAAA